AAGGAAATAATAAAGATCAGAGCAGAAATAAATGAAATAGAGAATAGAAAAACAATAGAAAGAATCAACAAAACCAGAAGCTGGTTCTTTGAAAGGATCAACAAAAACAACAAACAGGCCAAACTGCCAAAGAAAAACAGGAGAGGACACAAATAACCCAAATAAGAAATGAAATGGGGGACAGTACAACAGACCCAACTGAAATAAAAAGGATCATAACAGAGTATTATGAAACACCATACTCCAACAAATTTGAAAATCTAGAGGAACTGGACAAATTTCTAGAAACACATTACCTACCCAAATTATCACACATTGATATTGAAAATCTGAACAGACCCATAACAAGAAAAGAGATTGAAAAGTTAGTAAAAAAAACAAAAAACTACCCCCGCAACCAAAAAAAAGCCCTGGCCCAGATGGCTTCACTGGAGAATTGTACCAAACGCTCAGAAGAGCTTACATCAGTACTACTCAAATTATTTCAGAACATAGAAAAGGAAGGGATACTTCCAAATTCATTCTATGAAACCAGCATAACCTTGATACCAAAACCAGGCAAAGACACTACAAAAAAAGAAAATTACAGACCAATATCTCTCATGAATATAGATGCAAAAATTCTTAACAAAATCCTAGCCAATAGAATTCAGCATCATATCAAAAAAAATAATACACCGTGATCACGAAGGATTCATACCAGGTATGTAAGGATGGTTCGACATTAGAAAAATCAATCAAGATAATCCACCACATAAATAAAATAAAGGAAAAGAATCACATGATCATCTCAGTCGATGCAGAAAAGGCATTCGACAAAGTGCAACACCCATTCCTGATAAAAAACTCTCAATAAAATAGGTATAGAGGGGAAATTCCTCAACATAATAAAGGGCATTTATGGAAAACCAACAGCCAACATCATTCTAAATGGAGAAAAGCTGAAAACATTCCCCTTGAGAACAGGAATGAGACAAGGATGTCCTTTATCACCACTCTTATTTAACATTGTGCTGGAAGTCCTAGCTAGAGCAATAAGGCAAGAAAAAGAAATAAAGGGCATCCAAGTGGGTAATGAAGAAGTAAAACTGTCCCTATCTGCAGATGACACAATACTATATATGGAAAACTCAAAAGACTCCATGAGAAAACTACTGGAACTAACAGAAAGATTCAGCAGAGTAGCAGGATACAAGATAAACACTCAAAAATCAGTTGAATTCCTACACACCAACAAAAAGAACAACAAAAAGGAAATCAGGAAAGCAATACCATTTATAATAGCCCCTAAAAATATAAAATACTTAGGAATAAACCTAACCAGGGATGTAAAAGACCTATACAAGAAAACTACAAAACACTACTGCAAGAAACCAGAAGAGATCTACATAAATGGAAAATATACCATGCTCAGCCTTGTGAAAATGATGATTCTAGCCAAAGCAATCTACAAACACAATGCAATCCGTATCCAAATACCAACAACATTCTTTAAAGAGATGGAAAAAATAATCATTAACTTTATATGGAAAGGGAAGAGGCCCCAGATAAGTAAAGCATTATT